GCTCATTAGTATAATTCCATACTTGATTCATCAATTGGGTCAACTTTTGGATAATTGCGATTTAGTCCCTGAACTTTCGTTGACTTGCATTTTAGTCCTTTTCACCTTTTTTCACGTATATTTCGTTCATTCCATTAAAGTAGTCCTACAAAAACAATATATAATGAATTAAGTCATTTTCGAGCATTTTATAACAATCAATTTATTTTGTGTCATAATTAAGTGCGAAACACACACTTATCAGTCACTTGTGTATATATTGTGAAGGTCATCCTTGAAAGAATTCTAATTTATTCTCTGGTTTATATAGTTAGTGCTGTGAACATTTTTGGCTCTCCTCGGCGATGTGGTGGCCAGGGTGACATACTCTCGGGAAGGCAAGTATTTCTTAGCTTCACTAGCACACACTAGTATATCATATATGGTGTAAGAAATTTCCAAGGCGTTCTTCATTTTCGTTGCTGCAAATATTTTTTCCCTTCAGAATGTAGGATGATGCGGTTTTTTCTTTTAGTAAGTTTTCTTTTTCTACAAACTAATGACTTGCTAGGTTCTAGTCTCCACTTGAAATTTTGGAAAATGCTTCTTGTATATAATTATTTACATAATAGTTTACATAATGATAATGTGTCAAAATATAATTGGAGAAGTTATTTGATTCATGAAATTTTGATCAAATTGAATCTCGTCATATCATCCGTTGGTAAACCATTATGTAAATTGTTATGTATATAGCACAACCCTGAAATTTTTCGCTTTTGAGTTTTTTATGTCCTTGATATTTATGGTTCGTCTTCTCGTGTTTTTGGTGGGAATGAAGAAGCTTAGAATATTTTTGGAAATAATGTTGATTGGCAAACTCTTTGTTTCGTTTGTCCAAATCAACTACATGCATTTTGTGGAGGAAGGAAAGAAGGAATGAACATTAGGAATTTGTTTTTTTCCTTGTTTCTTTTCACAAATATCAGTACATGATTCCCTTGCACAACTTCCTCAAATATTCTGACATAAGATGTTGTTTTGATCGAATTCTACTCTTAGTATATAGTATTGTACATTATAGTATTAAAATTGTCTTGGCCTTTACCACCAGTGTTGCTGTATTTCTTTCCTGGGCTCGTCAGTGTGTTGCTGAAGGGGGGTGGAGCATGAGTCCTACGATTTTGGGGTGCATTTCTGGGTCAGCTATACTGAGAAAAGCTGCGGCGCTTGCATTTGAGAACAAAAGAAGATCTACCCTTACTAGTGATATAATTGAATGCTTGGGAGAAAGGTGATTTTACCTCAGTTAATTCTTTGTAATTTTTAACAAATGAATATGCTAAGTTCCTCATTTTTTTTTTCCCCTTTCCTGCAGTTTGGAGGAACTCTGTCCAGTTAATTAATGATGAAGACTCTGCCCTTGTGTACAATAAAACAGAATATTATGCGTTGACGTACAAATGAAGAGCGACTCTCGCATAGTGTGCAATAAAATGGTATTTCTGAGTTAAGAAATCAATTAGATTATGATTGCCACAAGTTGCCAGTGAAACCACCTCCCGCCCTTTATAATCAAAATAGAAGAAAATTGACGAAAGAAAAATAAACTCGGGCTATCGCTGGTCTATAATCGGGCTATCGTACGATGCTTTAATGATGACGTAGAGGGTTTTGATTTATAACTGGGCGATCGCCGAGGTTATCAAAACTAGCCATTAGGCTTTTTTCCAATTTTTATTTTTTGTGACTTTTCATGAAAAATTCAATATTTTCATGGATGATTGACACAATTTTGTGGTGATGTTTGGAAACTTAAATGTGGTAGTTTTTCATAATCTATATTTTTTAAACAATATAAAAGAACCACAAAATGTGTTGTCAATTCAATTCTCCATCACAAATAAGCTTCCTAGTGTTCTTCAAGTTCATGGGAGAAAAACACAAGTGTTTTCTTCTTAAAGGTATGTTATAATCCTACAAAACATTCGTCGGTGAATTCTTTAATCATTCTAATAATTGTAAATGGAGCAAATATCGTTTGAGGACAACGAATAGCATGTTACTTCATTTTTGGTATTCTTGCTATTATCTTTGTTATCTCCTTCTCCA